GATGTCCTGTCAATCAATCAGCCTGATGTCCTGTCAATCAATCAGCCTGACGTCCTGTCAATCAATCAGCCTGACGTCCTGTCAATCAGCCTGACGTCCTGTCAATCAATCAGCCAGATGTCCTGTCCATCAATCAGACAGATGTCCTGTCCATCAATCAGACAGATGTCCTGTCAATCAATCAGACAGATGTCCTGTCAATCAATCAGCCAGATGTCCTGTCAATCAATCAGCCAGATGTCCTGTCAATCAATCAGCCAGATGTCCTGTCAATCAATCAGCCTGATGTCCTGTCAATCAATCAGCCTGATGTCCTGTCAATCAATCAGCCTGATGTCCTGTCAATCAATCAGCCTGATGTCCTGTCAATCAATCAGCCAGATGTCCTGTCAATCAATCAGCCTGATGTCCTGTCAATCAATCAGCCAGATGTTTCCTCTGAAGCTTCATGAACAAAGAATCAGAAATCAGTTCCGTTCACATCTGGGCTTATTTTATTTCTCCACATTTATTTTATTTGTTTTACTCAAATACAGAATGTGATCAATAAATATAAAGTTTTATGTTTGTTTTTTACCTTTTCTCTCAAACGTTCAGCTTCAGTTTAGAATAAATCTGAGGTCCTGTTGAGTTTTACAATCATTCTGGTTCAGATGTTGAGGTTCATCTGTACATGTTTCTGATCACAGCTGTAAATATCAAGTGTGATGAATATGAAATAAAAAATTAAATAAAGTCAACAGAAGTTGTTTTGTCACTAAAAACAGGGAGTGTGGTAAAGAGGAGAAGATCAGTCCAGGCAGGATGGAGAAGAGTTTCAGGAGGGATTTGTGTTTCCAACAACGTTCACGTTGCGGCACGGATGTTGGCGGTGGTGCTGAAGCTGCTGAACGTGAACTAGTTAATTTAACCTTCCACTCCTCCTCCTTTCTCAGGGCCTGTCCACTTGGAGACACCGTCTTCAAACAGTCTTTATTTCCTGTTTATGAAAATATCCTCGTAAACACGGCACCGATTTTAGAAATCGTTTCAGGTTGGGTTAGGGGCGGGGCTTTGACGTCATAGATTTATTATGGTTGTTTCGGCATGAAAATACAACTGTGTAGCTTAAAGGCCTTGATGCTCCTGGACCCAGAATCGCCGCTTTAAGCTCCTAAATCAGTTTTCATGTGGACAAAACGATAAACCTGATCCACAGAGCCCAGTTCTTGTTCAGCGTCCCCGTGTCCTCTCTGACTTTGACCAGAAACTTCAGCCTTTTAGGACCGAAGCACAAAACTGATCCATCAGCTCTTAACATGGATTTTCCTTCGTCGGGAGTTATCTGTACGTTTAAAATGTGAGCGGAGACTTTCTCAGGATTAAAGAGAAGGTCTGAAGAGTCTGATGTAGAGAAGGGCTCCGCTTCCTGACAGGCGGCTCTGGGAGGAGATAAGTGGACGACTTAAAACAGTTTGTAAGAATAAAGATCTGCGAGAGCGACGTTTTAATCCACAAATCTCACTTGGATTAAAAACAAATGGAGAATAAAATTAAGACGAGTTAAAGATGTTAGTTGGTGTTCTTTTCAAGAACCTGGAAGTTATAAAGAGGAACTTATAAAAAAGAAGTACATGCTTTTTAAAATTATTTTTGTGCATTTTTTTTTTTCAAACGCTTCATGTGACGTCCTGGATTTGAACCTTTGTGAGAAAAATGAGCTGAATTTTATTTCTGTTGATTCCAAATCAAACTCAGCTCAAGGAGCTCGACAGGAAAAGTGTTTCTGTGTGGGGGGGGGAACGTTTAGCTACCGTTCTGCTGGCTTTAGCTGTTACTCTTGTTTTATTATTTTAGCTTCATATAGTTTTACCATTTGGTAATTTCTAATTAGCTTTATTTAGCTAGTTTTTGATTTTAGCTACCATTCTGCTGGTTGTAGCTTGTAGTTACCATTTTGCTAGTTTTAGCATGTAGCTACTGTTCTGGTTTTATCTTGTAGCTACAGCTTTTCTAGTTTTACATTTAGCTACTGTCTGCACGTTTTAGCTTTTAGCCACTGTTCGGCTGGTTTTAGTTTGTAGCTACAATTTTGCTACTTTCAGCTTTAAACTACCATTTAGCTGGTTTTAGCTTGTAGCTACTGTTGCTACCGTTTTGCTAAATTTTGCTTGTAGCAACATTTCTGATGGTTTAAGCTTGAAGCTACTGTTTTGTTAGCTTTAGCTTTTAGCAACTGTTCTGCTGGTTTTAGCTTGCAGCTATTGTTCCTCTAGTTTTAGCTTAAATTGAATTGAATGCCTGTTTTTCAGTGTTTTCTTAATATTGAAGCGTTGATCTGAGGACTAAAGTACAGTCGGACTGTCCTCTTGAGGACAGATGTGTCTCTTGACATGGACAGATGGGAGGACCACCCCCCCCCCCACTGAACTTCGACGCTGATACAGAAACTCTCTGATTAGCCCGGCAGAGGTCAAAGGTTCAAATCCCAGAGGAACTCGACACGTGTGCAGGTCTGTTTGACTCGTACGAAGACGAGCTGAGAAACAAACAAGATTCATCTGGAAACAAAAGGTTTGTTTATTAAAACAAACAAACAAAAAATATATATTTACGATGGAACCGCAGTAAAACCTTCAGATTTAAAACATCTGCTATTAAAAAATAAAAGTCAAATCCAACGATGTTCAGTCGGTTCATCTGGACGGATTCTTTTTTTGCCGAGACGTTTCGTCCATCATCCGAAGGGCTTCATCAACCCGAGGAGCCACCGAACGAAACGTCTCAGCAAAAACAAAACATTCCAGATGAGATGACTGAACATTGTTGGATTATTACCTG